AAGCACAACACTAATTTGCTTGTGATTTATAATTATCAACAATCTTTCTATTACGTAGGTAACGAACGTGAAGTCATGCGGAATCGGTAAATCGTGATTCCTCTAGAATTTATTCATAACCTTTATCCCTTAACCCATAACCCTTCGGAGATTCGAATTAGGCTAGATATTCTTTGTTTCTGTATAAAGATGATTCTATGGGATGAAAGGACTGCTTAACTCTTTCCCCCTCTCCCGCGGGAGGAATTTCGAAAAATCCCTTCTTAATGTGAATTCTCATGAGGTACTCTAACTGTGTACTAAATTTCAACTTTCAACTCCTAACCGTTTGGGCTTTCAACTCCTAACCGCTTAATAATAATAATATTATTATTGTTACTATGTTGGGTTTAGTAAGTTATACTCGGTTGACACCGGTGGCTGTGTACTATGCCAAACCAGAGTCAAGGCATAGCAACCAAAACAAGACAAACATTAAATAAGTGTGTCAGTGTGTGTGTCTGTATTCAGAAATTTCCTAACAGTATGACATGTATAGTGGCCTTCTGTAGTTTGATGTAGCCTATGTGTTTCTGTTATTCGTGGTCTTTGTGTGGTATCTGTACCTGTACATTTAGCGAGTGTTTCCTGAAATATAAGTGAGAGAGTATTAACTAAATCTAGGTTTATATTATCAGTGGTCGATGAGGAAGTGTCTATAGTATCATTAGTGGTAGTTGTTGCTTGTGTGCTATAATCAGTGCTTGCTGCTGTATTATCCTGACAGGTTACGTGATATTTATAGATATTAATGCTAAATGTTTCTGTCTGTTGATGTATTTGATCAGCAACCTGTTACTTGATAAGTCCAAATCTTGTTTGTGGGATAAGGTTGTATATAGTTGTTCGTTTTTGATCAACAACCCTTTGGTGACAGTGAGGTGAGGATATTGTCGTGTGAATCTATGGTGTAGTTGTTGTCTGTACGCTGTCATATCTGTTTTGAGTTTTATGGTGGTATTGTGAGAAACCGGGGGATTGGTGGCTACCGGTTTAAACCCTTTGGACCAGCGACGGTCTGGCGAAGACCGCTCACTTTGTCACTGGATGGTTTTACCGAGTGACCGAGGGGTAATGAGTCTGTTGATAGGGTGTTGGCGCCTAATAAGTCCACACGAGAGCATGTTAAACAACAAAAATAACAATTTAACGAACTAACTCAAAAGCATATGATACAGTAAGCTAATACACTACAGGTTATTCTACCTTTTATAGGTAACATAATGTCCGGGACTATTCCAATGTGCCGGTAGTTTTTCTATTTAGTCTGTACGACTGTATCCAAAAGACATTAAAGCCTTGTCTTTTAGAGCCTTGTCTTGTAAAGTTTCCATTAATACGTCCTTATAGACTAATTGACCGAGAGATAGAGTTNTTATAAGTACTATAAATAATACGATGTTATGATAATGTTCTGCTGTATTACAAAGTTTTTGGAAATTGTTTACTGGAGTTTTAAATTGTTTCTGTACTCTCCTATATTACTGAAGAGAGGTTAACCCATAACCCTTCGGAGATTCGAATTAGGCTAGATATTCTTTGTTTCTGTATAAAGATGATTCTATGGGTGATGAAAGGACTGTTTAACTCTCTCCCCCCTCCCCCGCGGGAGGGGGAGAGAGTTAAAAATCCCTTCTTAGTGTGAATTCTCATAAGGTACCCTAACTGTATACCAAATTTCAACTTTCAACTCCTAACCGTTTGGGCTCTAAGCTTAATATTATTATTATTATTATTATGTTGATTGACACCGGTGGCTGTGTACTATGCCGGACCAGAGTCAAGGCATAGCAACCAAAACAAGACAAACATTAAATAAATGTGTCAGTGTGTATGTCTGTATTCAGAAATTTCCTAACAGTATGACATGTATAGTGGCTTTCTGTAGTTTGATGTATGTGTTTCTATTATTCGTGGTCTTTGTGTGGTGTCTGTACCTGTACATTTAGTGTTTCCTGAAATATAAGTGAGAGAGTATTAACTAAATCTAGGTTTATATTATAAGTGGTGGATGAGGAAGTGTCTGTAGTATGGTGGTAGTTGTTGCTTGTGTGCTATAATCAGTGCTTGCTGCTGTATTATCCTGACAGGTTACGTGATATTTATAGATATTAATGTTAAATGTTTCTATCTGTTGATGTATTTGATCAGCAACCTGTTGCTTGATAAGTCCAAGTCTTGTTTGTGGGATAAGGTTGTGTATAGTTGTTCGTTTTTGATCAACAACCCTTTGTTTGGTGACAGTGAGATGAGGATATTGTCGTGTGAATCTATGATGTAGTTGTTGTCTGTACGCTGTCATATCTGTTTCGAGTTTTATGATGGAATTGTGAGAAACCGGGGGGATTGGTGGCTACCGGTTTAAACCCCTTGGACCAGCGACGGTCTGGCGAAGACCGCTCACTTTGTCACTGGATGGTTTTACCGAGTGACCGAGGGGTAATGAGTCTGTTGATAGGGTGTTGGCGCCTAATAAGTCCACACGAGAGCATGTTAAACAACAAAAATAACAATTTAACGAACTAACTCAAAAGCATATGATACAGTAAGCTAATACACTACAGGTTATTCTACCTTTTATAGGTAACATAATGTCCGGGACTATTCCAATGTGCCGGTAGTTTTTCTATTTAGTCTGTACGACTGTATCCAAAAGACATTAAAGCCTTGTCTTTTAGAGCCTTGTCTTGTAAAGTTTCCATTAATACGTCCTTATAGACTAATTGACCGAGAGATAGAGTTTAGATTTCCTTAAGTAATATACCTCTTAGACCAATGGTTCCAGATCCCGTTGTATGGGACGTTGGCGAGTGAGAAGGGGTAGCGAGAAGTCCTCCTTCCTTTCGTGTTGGGATCATCTTGGCAGAGAGACGGGAGACGGGAGCGGGTGAGGCGAGAATGGCGACGGACAAAAGCTTGTCCTCTTGCTTCTGAGAGAGTGTCCGCCCCGAGGTTTGAGTTCTAGCCCCTTTTATACGCGTTGAGCGTGGGAGAGAACTGATTTAATGTGGTCTAAGCGGCCGGAGCGGTCTGACTCTTTTTATCATATAAGGCACCAAATTCGAAGTTCTTACACGTCATCCTCGAGGTGTTGGGACTCTTCTTACCTCATAATTTAACCGATTTTGACGTTTCTCCCTCATTAATAACTATATGTTTAAGTTTTCTCGACACTTATTCAAAACATCGTAAAGATTGTTGATTCGGAAAAATATTCGATCGGTTTTTATCTTTTCAATGGACGAGTAGCCAGGAAATATCAGGTGGAAACCCGGGTTTTTTCCCTGGGTTTTTCCTCCTTCGTAATTACGTATTATAATTAAGTTAACAGACTAATTAGCTCTTATTAACCCCTCCGGATCTTCACAGTATAGTAAGCACTGATGATAAACTCGTTCATTTCTGATGTCCATTTCATCGATTGGCGTTGTTTTCTAACCTTTGTGGTCTGTGGATGCATTGCCACAGAAACACCAATGCTAGGTTGGTTCTTCACATCTGTCGAGGGCATTGCAATAGATTTGTTGCGCCGTCGCTGCTTTCGCCACCAGTAACCAAGGAAGACTGTGGCCTATTTTCCGAACGTGAGCCTCTACGTAATCCACGAACGTGGACCTAGTTAATAGAGAGGTTGAGGCACAAGTTCAAACGTTAAACGTGTACGGGTAGCAGAAGTACACGTTACACGTTTCAAGTCCAAGTAAAAATCGTTGAGGCACACGTTCATAACATCACGTGACTCAGTGAACATCGCGCATTGACTCACGGGAAATAAGTTTTTAAAAAAATGGCGGAAGCAAAATAAATCATAATTTTAACCCCAAACACAGAAAAATGAAGACGTTTAAGCCGATCGTGTACTCACCAAGCTACACATAGCAAACGCCATTATCGACGGTCCAGAACTGCCAGATGGCGGCGCTCACCCGTTACCCGTACACGTTTTGGGCTAAATACGTGCGCCTCAACATCTCTAATATTATTATTATCAATCCATCTCGATTATATTATAAGATTCATAATTTCACATTATCCAATTCCAGAAGTGTGAAGAGAGACACATTGTGAAGACACTTTGACTTTAACATAGTGTTTCTTCTAAACTTGTGAATAACTTAATAAATTAATTAATTCAAATAAATCATTTAATTTCAACACTACAGTATTTCTAATTCAAATGGATATATTTTCGGTTGTTATCTTGTTGTTCACAGAATGATAAATATTAAAAAGTTTCCATTAAAAGAAAATCCAGCAACGAGCTACGTTACTTTCCCAGAAACAGTTAAAAATGTATGCGGCTCCATATGTTATGGGATTTTATTACTTTTGCAGCTTTGTTATGGGATGATAAAAATTTCTCTATTCTCCTTCCATATCGATAATATGAATTCATTCCCGGTTAAAATTTGTTATAAGTAAACTTCAATAAACACAAGTATCGTGATAAATATAATTAACCCAATATAAACAAAACTCCAAAGAAAACTTTATCACATTAAAATTTGATTTCTTATTCAATCAAAAGCAAATATTTAGAAAGTTAATTCATCTGATAAAATTTATAATTCGAAATAATAATTAATTAATCAATACTTTCACTTTAATATCATTTAAAATTTATCAAATTTAAACAAAAATAACCAATTAAATGTTAAATTAAATTCCTTTTAAGTTTTACTTTCCAGTGAAATCAATTATGATAAATATTTGCTATAACCACAGCATACAACAGAATTCAAATATTTAACTATTATTAAATAAATAAAAACTTAAATTTAAAAGGTAGGAAAATGTCACGCCGATTTAAGATCGGTATACGTGTAGAGCTTTAGTAGACACGATACATCCTCATTAAAAATACACACAACCCACAACTGTAAATATAAAGATTCTCACGAAACAAATGTTGCTAAGTTAACAAAAGATAATATACTTTATGACTTTGTGGTATTCTCAAAGGAAAGGTGAAATTATGTCTTATACAACTGCTTTACTCATAATTATACTCCTTGTTAATTACCCTAATTGTCTTTGCTCTATCATTAGTAGATATCATTTATTTGCCACTGGCATATTTTTGGAAGATTGGGCCTCAGAAAAACCTTCTGTGGCTTCTCGTATTGAATGCGCTGCTTTTTGCAGTGGAACTAAAAACTGTTTAGCGTTTGGTTATTTTAAAAATGAAGAAGGAGATCATTGTCGAATTATTTCTGTTTCTATTGATAAAAACGAAGGTAAAACATTCACAGGAATGAAAATATACTTAAAACAAGGTAAGGGTTGCCTATTTAATGAAACTAAAGTATGTAGATACAGTTTCTTCTATAAGTCTATTTGTCGTTACTTTATTACAATAATAAGACTTTTAATACACCTTATAGACGAGATAATATAATTATTTTCATTAAAATTAATCGTTAAGAGTAAGCGTAACGGCATATAAAATTAAATAGGAATATTATTTTAAATACAAGAGAATATTTTATATATGAGAGTTAAACAAGAGATGATTTCTCAAGCGAAATTTAAAATTTTTACATGCTACGTTCAAGTCTTAACTACAGAACAAGCTGTTATTACGTTCGTGCTGTTCGTTTATGTATCTGTGTTTTAAGTCTTTCTTGACTGTGTAACGTATATAGTAGTTTCTAAATTCTGTGCAATTTACGTGGTATGACGTCTATGGAAGAACAAGCTTTCATGATGGAGTCCTAAGTGTATTTACTAATTTTTCAGTGTATGTATTTTGTATGATACTGCAGTATCAAACACATACTGCAGTATCAATTATATGTGATTTTATTTTGTCTACTAACGAATGTCATGTCTGGTCCCTTGTAATGGATTGTTTTGTCTGTGATTCTTTCTGATCTTGTTTTCCACGAACATCTGAAGTGTGTATTTGTTGTATGGTTCTAAGATGTGAAATAGTCTGTGTTTGATTGCAAGCTTTTAATATATTATATTTGCTATTTAGTTATGTTGATGTAAGTAATCAGTCTGCAACTAAATGTGACCTGTTGTATAATTTCGTGCTTGATATGATATTTTCTATGTGTTGCTATAAGTGCTGTGTCTTACAGAATGTGCTTCCTGTAGCTTTTTGCAAGGTTTTGAAGCAGGGCCTGATCATACTGCGGTTTCGGGACTGCTTCACGTGAATTTTTGGTAGTTTAAGTACAATTGTTCGAGATAGGAATACATTATTCAAATCATTTCATTCTGTTAATTTATTTACAATCTGTTTCTATTGCTTTATTGGGATGCAATTTTTAAAACCTGAATAGCTATAAATTCCCATTAGCGTTTGTCTATGTCCTTCCTTAATCTCAAGAACGAATTTAGATAGATGAAAGTCGAGACCAGAAATGAAAGCTTAGAAAGGAGTATGATATATGACTGGCACGACTCTAAAGTATGATGTACAGGGGCAAGACACTAAAATTGAAAGCATTGTGACGATGTGACAATAAATGTTGATATTGCTCGTACAAATTTTATATAAACAATAGAAATAGATCTTTTGATCACGTATAAGATATAACAATGCCATTTTAGCATTATTTTCAATTATATAAACTACAATTAAAATGCCGGATATCAGAGAAAAAAAGAATGAGATTTCAATAAATAATTAACTAATAAAACAATTATTCACCATCATTACCCCTCTGAATCTTATTGAAAAGTGGTTCTAATAACTATTTGGAAGGTGAATAGATTATATTAGGAAAGTTATAACAGTAAACAGACAGTAAAAAGGTTATAATATGTAAACAGAATTAACGTAATATTGTAGTTATTATTTAAAAGTTACTAAAATATTATCCATTTTATGGTATTATTGATTACAGCTAATATAAATTAAGTTTGTTAATACTGAAAAAAATAAATAAGATATGACAGAAACGTGTTCTTAACGGTATTCCAGAAATACAAATTAGAGAACTTTTGGTTAGCTTCACAAAGTTTTTAGAAATAATTGTAAAGTATAAAGCTCAAAACTTTCTAGTGCATAGCTGAAAAAATTAACATCTAAGGCCCAAAGAGAAAACGAGCGAAGAAATTTTTAAAGAATTTATGGCTCTGGGTTTCGGTTCTGGCTGCAGCAAAAAACAAAACAGAAAAATATTAAGAGAAAAACAGAAGCTCAAGAGTAACTCCCGCTTCGGATCCAGAGCAGTGGTTTCTTGTATTTACGACCTGGTCTTATATGGCAACTATGAAACTTTAATCTCTCCAAAGAGGTACCTATGGGTAAGCAGGTAGTTGAATGCAGTTTTGTGTCAACATAATTCTGACTGACATAGTTACAATGCCTGCTCCTTCCCTGCCCAAGACTGTCTGATGGTGTTTGTTCATTTTGTGCACTGTGTTAGATCCAGGTCAGTGTTGTGTAAGTTTAATGATGTACTGCTTTTGTCTACAACAGTTACAATTTTATGTAATTGTAATGTTTTCTGTAGAAAAATAAAAAATATATAAGTTTTTTCTCGTAATGTCTGCCTTTCTTTGTAGTGAAAATTTTCTAATCTGTAAGGTCTCGTTCCCCCGTTTTGCTAGGAAGAGTCGCCCTTTCTACGAAGAACTTAGGATTTTATTAATGTTGTTCCTGTTTTCCTTTGAAGCGATTCCAATTCGATGTGTCTAATGTATAACTCCAAAAGAATAGTAAACAGGTAGTCTTTTTGTGTGTTTGTATGCGGGTGTGTTCTGTGAGTTTGGTCTACCGATCTTCAGGATTCCTTTTTCTATGTAAAGTGTTCTGCATTTATCTAAGCCAGTGATCTCCAAAGTTTTATGACCGCGTACTCCTAAGATGAAAATAATTATAAGTTGTACCCCCTATAATATAATATACAGTATTTTGAAGAGAAACTGCGTACCCCCAACTATCACTACGTGTACCCCACTTTGAAGACCCACTTATCTAGGCCAAACTTCATTCGAAAGTCAGTAGATTAAATGTGTGTAACTTTTGATAGATGATTTAGTTGTGTAGATGGATAGAATTTTGTCATCCATGTACTGTAGATAGGATACTACGCATTGTGTTGCTTAGTTGCGTTTGGTGTATCTGTAGTGTTGTTTAACTTATTGGACAATAGGTCTAAGACCAGACATAACCAGAGTGGATTTAATGAGTTTCCTGGAAAATTATTTTGCTTGTTTTCGATGGATGTGTCGTGAAATCTGGCATTCCAGTAATGATTATCTCCACAGAATGTGGGTGTGTGGTCACTCTTAGCTTCATTTCTCCCCATAGACCTTACTGGCATGGGTGTCCCTACCAGGAGCTTGTGCTCCAGCGTGCATTGCCCTATGGATCTGTAAAACTACTGGGCTCTCCCACCACGACCAGGTGGTGACCACGGGAGAGTTATTATTATGTTGGGTTTAGTGGGTTTTACTCGGTTCACACCGGTGGCTGTGTACTATGCCGGATCAGAGTCAAGGCATAGCAAACCAAAACAAAACTGAAATTAAATAAGTGTCTCAGTATGTGTGTCTGTATTCAGGAATTTCCTAACAATGTGGCATGTATTCAATATAGTGGCCTTCTGTAGTGTTATGTATGTATTTCTACTCAATTCTAATGTTCCCAGGCTTTTGTGTAGTGTGTGTGGTATCACACCTGTACAGGAGAGAACAACAGGTACAATAAGCACCCTATCCATCCTCCACAGATGCCTTATTTCCTGGGCGAGTTCTGTGTACTTGCTAATTTTTTCAGTGCATGTGTTTTGTACATTGTGAGTGTTTGGAATGGCTATGTCTATAATGTATGTGATTTTATTGTGTTTGTCAATGAGTGTGATGTCTGGTCTGTTGTGGTAAATTGTTTTATCTGTGATTATGGCTCTGTCGTAGTACATTTTGTGCGTGTTGTTTTCCAATACTGTCTGTGGAATATACTTGTAGTATGGTTCGTGGATGTCTACCAATTTGTGTTTCTTTGCAAGCTCTTGGTGTATTATATTTGCTACTTGATTGTGTCTATGTAAGTAATCTGTCTGTGCCAAGAGCTTGCAACCAGAAGTGATGTGTTGTATAGTTTCTGGCATGATGTGACATTTTCTGCATGTGTCATTTGTGAGTGTTGTATCTTTGAGTATGTGTTTTCTGTAGTTTTTAGTATTTATGACCTGATCCTGTATGGCAATCATGAATCCTTCCGTCTCCCCAAAGAGGCATCCCCGATCTAACCAGCTGTTTGACGCAGTTTTGTCAACAAAATCCTGGGCCAGGTCGTAAGGATGCCTGCCATGGAGAGCCTTTTGAGCCCATGATTGCTTAATGTTGTCTATGCTTTTTATATGTTGTGTCATGTCTGTATGTTGTGAGTGTAAGTTTAATGGTGTGTTATTTGAGTCTGCTAGAGTTACTGCTTTATGTAACTGTGATGTTTCTTGTTTCTTGTAGAAAAACTCTCGCAGTGACTGTATTTGTTTGTAGTGAAGGTTAACTATGTCAATCAGGCCACGTCCGCCTTCTTTACGTGGAAGGGTTAATCTTTCTGTGGCGGATTTAGGATGATGTTGTTTATGCTTAGTAAGTGTTGTTCTTGTTTTCCTTTGGAGTTGCTCGAGATCTGTGTGAGTCCAATGTATAACTCCAAAAGAGTATGTGAGTACTGGAATGACATATGTGTTTATTGCTTTAACTGTGTGTTTTGCATTTAACTGTGTTAAAAAAAGTTTAAGAAGCCCTGCTGTATTCTATAACAGCTGAGAAACTAAACAAATAGTGCGATATTATCAATTCATCTTGTAATAAAGTTTCGCCAAGAAGAGTTTATAACATTTTCAAGATCATTTTATGGTCGATGTTAAGACATTTTCAGAAAAATGTTTGGGGTAAATTTCTTGTTTTCTGAATTAACAAGGATTTCCTGTAAACATTTACTCTCATATATTAATTACAAGTCACTAGAAATAGCTAATTTATTAATAAATGAAGTTTTTTTATTTATATAAAAATAACTATATTTTATTCGTGAATTCTAACCCATAAGCAATTGTAGGCCCATAATGAGTATATTTAAAGCTTTCAAACAGTACAGTTCCCACATACGGCTTTAGAAGAACTAGAGGAGACATCTCACTGCAGTTACCTCAGTATAACCATTATTAATATGGATTTATTTTCTTTTTATCCCACGCACACAATGCGCGCACATGCACGTATAATAAATATCTGTGTTTTATAGAATTATTATTGGAAAAATTAAACGAAAACAGAAAGAACAAAGCAAAGCATGCAGTGCAATTGCTTCTCGCGATACATGTATAATTATTAAGAGGCGAATTACGAGATGTAATCTGTTTATTTTAATATAATTGTATTTCAAAATTAATTGAAAAACTATTCAATATCATATTTTATTTGCAGGATAAAGCTGAATTCTAAATGACTTGAACGAAAGGAGATTTTCATTTCAAGTAATGAAGTAAATCGAAAGATACTGGTAGAACCGAATTTATTGAATTTTTATGCTTGTTTAATTAAATGAATGCATGTATTTTAATTATACTTTCACAACTGTTATTGTAATATTGTTAATTGATAATCACCGATAGAAAAAAGTCACCGATAAGTGGCATTGAAGTCATGCAACTGGGGTCTGAACCCATTCCATTATTGGAAAACATCTTAATTAACGTGCTAACGAATTTTTGATTCCAGAACTTCAACAAAGCCTTCAAGATACCATATTCACGAAAGATGGCACATCATCCCACATCCCTCTCTATGTTCAGGTCTATTGTTAAAGATGTGCATATGTGTCAGATCTAGAGGACAGAGTTCATTGATGATTAAAGTGGACTCATCAGCATTGGAAAACATGCTTTTGCAAATTGAGCACTTGTAACCGTAATTTGTATAGCTCCAGCGTTAGTATCGGTGACTTTTTGTATGAAAAATCTTTATTTAATAAATGGCAACGCATCATCTGAAGTACCTGTTGTCCAAATGTTTCATTTCAAGCAGTAGAACGTTCACCAGAACCCCAAATTGGAGAAGTTAATTTCGATAACTCTATATTATATTTGGAGGACATTTTTACTTTCCCGGTTGTTATATATTAATATAACCGAGAGAAAGTATAGCAATCGGTTAAAAAATGACCCACTAAGATTTTTACATTTTTGGATACGAGGGATCTTGAAACATTGAGAAACGTAAAAACATTACGGTTTTTTTTCTGTATATATGAATGTTAATGTGTGTGTTTGGCACGATTTTGTTTACCCTCTTTGATGCTTCATAACTCCTGTGCTTTTGTAGGAAATTTCTGAATTCTTGCAGGGAAGTTTGTTTATTAGGGGAATTGCCGTTAAATTTTGTAATTGTAAATTAATATTGAAATATTACAATTGTTAAAGCCAATAAATTTAAATAAAGGTATGGAGGTAAGTGGCATTTGTAAAATTCTACCATAGTGATTTAGTTTCTAAATCGTATATATTCAACTATGTAAACTCTTAGATGCAACTGTATACTCTCTCTATATATAACTTTATAGTGTATATATAATAGAAGAAACTCAACATTGCATTTAATCTCTATAAAAGAATCACTCAAATCTTTGAATATTAAGTAATTTGAATGTAATATCAATAATGATAAAGAAAACAAGAATGTTTTATAAAGATTTCCAAGTTTATAAAATATTTACTCATTAAAAAATATTTAGTAAGAAAATGTTAACAAATTATTTATTAAAAAATTAAATATGCGTAACAGTTTAATATCAAATATAAGATTATCAAATAAACTAAATAATGTATCAAGAAACAGCTGTGCCGATTAAGAATTTTCATTTTCTGAATAATAATTTTTTTATTTCTTTTATAAAAGATATTAATATATGTATATATATATAGGGGAGACCGGGGCAACTTCGGCATATGGGGCAAGTTTGTCAAGCGCTTTTTTTAAAAAACAAATTAAAAGGAGACTTTGGTTATAGGTTAGGCAGTTGAGTTTTATTGGTGGCTTGTTGAGTGTAGTGTTTTTATTGTTCTCCAACAAGCGTAGTTGAATTATCAAGCAAATTTTCATTTTCGTTCAATTCCATATAATATTTTTTTTCCATTTATATTGAATTGGCAGGTTTTGTTATAATTCCATGATAACGAAAGTTACTTTTCCTGTTAGAAGGATGTAACTTCAACTTATTCACGTGGCCAGATCGTGGCTTGGCATTCTGTTCTCAGGGTTGTACTTAATGTTTCGAAATCATGACTAGCGGGGTAAGATCGGCAACATAAAGCCACATTAGAAGCAAAGGATAAAAATCAAACAGATGATAAATGAAAACATGTTTGCATTTGTTATTCATGTATATATGTCTTTGAACTTGCATTTCGTTGTAATAATATTAAATGGGTGTTGGATTTGTATTTCTTTGTTTTAATAGTGAATTCCAACTTATACATTGTTAATAACATAATTTTATATTCGTGCCTATCTTGCCCCATTACTGTTGCCCCTATACTCGGGGCAACTTCGGCAACTTCTCTCTTTTTGTAAAGTTGTAATTATTTTAATTATTTTTATTTCCAAACTGATTTTAACCAGTTCTATAGTAAGAAAACATTCCAATAGACAATATGCAAAGCTTTTTTTTCAGTTTACAATAGTATTTATTACACAAAATTTAAGTAAAGCTTAACATGCCGATCTTGCCCCGGTCTCCCCTATATATTTATTATTCATAAAATGAAAATTCTTAATAAAAAAATTTTAATTTCTTAAAAATTTGTAGCAACGAGTTGCTTAACTTTCCCAGCAACATTTGATGGCTGCCATCTGTTATGATATTTTATTTTAAAAAAGTTTTTTATTTTTAACTATTATAAAATGACAAAAAGCTTGATTTTGAAGATAAGGATGAGTTTTATAAAAAGAAAAAAATATTGTAAATGCTAATAACGAATAAAATCGTCATTAAGTCTGACCCAACTGTAGACACGACTCCCGTTTATCTCCCATTCCGTCGACCTTTAACCACCAAAATTTAATGGCATCAGTTACCCTAATACACAAACCTCTCTGCAAAATTTCAGAAATTTTCGACAAAAAGCACGGAAGTTATTAAAAATCAAAGAAGGTGAACAGTATCATTCTCCACACATACACACTAACATCCATATCATTTTTTAAAAATTTTCTATTGTTTAGTGTAATATGATTAAAATAATTTTAATCTCATTTTTATTCTTTTTTATATTAAGTGATGTAGTACTTCATATAATTTATATTCGGCTTAACATACGTTAATAAAGGGCAGGATGACCGAACGGTTAAGATGTTAATCTACTGCTCTGCAGACCAGGCACATTTANAATATGATTAAAATAATTTTAATCTCATTTTTATTCTTTTTTATATTAAGTGATGTAGTACTTCATATAATTTATATTCGGCTTAACATACGTTAATAAAGGGCAGGATGACCGAACGGTTAAGATGTTAATCTACTGCTCTGCAGACCAGGCACATTTACATGTGGATCGAAAAAACTCCAGCAATTTATCTTGACTAGCATTCCGGATTAATAAACACGTTACACATCTAGGTAGAATTATCTGACTACTGCAAAATTCGGCATATAGCTATGTTATAGACAGGTATTTAAATGATTGAAATTGCGGTCTGACTGAATGCCAGGTAATACCAACAATGCTTTAAAATTCTTACCCAATCTCCTATCAGAAGACTCGCGGAGTTCAGATTATTCAGTGTCCTGTCCGTGTCGTTTGAGGTCGTCGAACGCCTTACATGCCTGTACGACACGAACAAAGATATCGTTATGGCTGTTTGTAGGCTACTTGTAGCCTACGATCTGTCTAGGCCTCTAGGGCACCGAGAGTCTTCCCACTGTATACGTGTATTCTAATGTCTTCTCACAGTCAGGTCGAAAGAGTCAAGATGGTTGGCAATTCAGCCAAACGGCCACATCATTGGTCTGAAAAAGGCGCGATGGCCGTTTCTCTTAATTGCCAACATCTTTCTGCTTATTTTTGAGGCATTCAAGGGCTGCATGTCCGAATTTATTATTAATAGAACATATTGTAAGGAACTAATATTAATATTAAGTACTTCAACCCAATGGCTTATGATTCTATCACTAAAATAACGTTCATTTAAAAGTACTTAAAAATCGTACAATTTTGCTGAAAAATTCATTTTTTCGGGACCCTAAAGATTAACCTTCATTGGTTTCATAGTTAGTGTTACCCTCGAATTCTAGTTCTGTTTGTGAACAGACAACCACTTGTTAAAGAGTAGAGACCCATTGGCAAGCGTTTCAACTCTGTCTTTACTGCTGGGCGTTTCACTGTGTCCCTCTGCTGGAGTGCTTACAGAGTCATCTCATATGACAGTGAGTCATTCCTAATAGCCGAAGCTATGGAATCGCGTAAAAATCTGCCGACTCCAATTCGGTCCGAATCGTAGGTGGACGAAAATAAGAAATAAAATGGTTCAAATTCTTACAAGATATTATTATTATTTATTGTGAAATTTTGCCGCCCCCTAAAACGTAATTTTTCCGCCCCCTTCGCTACGCTACTGGTGGGGGGCACGATTTTGTTCATTCTGTTTGAAGCCTAATAATTTCTGTAGTCAGAGTGGTCAGAATCGGAGTCAGATGGTTTAACACAGGAGTTAGTTATTAAGCGTTAAAGTGGTTGAACTAATCGTGTCCCCATATACATTCTAACATCTTAGGCGAGAACATCTTAACGGGTTTTACTGTACTATTATAAAATGACAAAAAAAGCTTACTTTGAGGGTAGAGACGAGTTTTATTTTATTTTATTTTTTTTAATTTTGAACGCTAATAACGAGTAAAATATTCTTTAAGAGATATGACACATGACCACTTTTATGTCTTCATTCTGTCGACCTTTCATTAAGAACCAAAATTTATAGTATTAATGTCCCTTTATACGCAAGCTGCAGTGCCACATTTCGTTTCTTAAATATAGTTTAATATCTCAGAACAGAAAATAAAGAAATTAAACAAATTAGATGCCAACACACACACGCGCTCGAATTTTTCCCCTTTACTGACTTTTTTGAGGGGTTTGGGAGGTCTCCAAACGTGTAGATTTGCAAAAAAAAGCTTGGAGGGTCAAATATGACACGATTCCAATACTTTTCCGTTTTATATACATCACAAGTTGGTAAGTAAAAAGGAGTCGGAGTCGGCGGATTTTTTGACGACTCCGACTCCGACTCCGACTCCGGCTAAAACATCAAAACTCCACGACTCCGACTCCGACTCCGACTCCACAGCCCTGCTAATAGCGGTGGTGGACATTGTCGGCAAAGCAGTAGGTTCAGGAAATCCACTCATATATTGCGTTCATTGCATTATTTACTTTATTATTCACTCACAAAAATCGTTACATAGGCGTATTTTAAATTTCTGCTTTATCGCCTGTAATAATTTATTTATTCATATGTTGCATACCTTGTGGAGATACAGTAGTTTCTCGGAATATTACATTGGAATGCGATATGTTATCGTATTCAATTAAATTATATGATTTAATAATGCCAGTATTACGACATTAACGTATATTCTATAATTGTTTTATGATGCAAATAAAATATTTTTAATAACCATGAACATTATTTATATGAAATTTTCCATTTTAATGAAAAACTGAAACTCAATGGAATCGTTATTTCTGTCTTTCATGAGAAATCAGTAAAAATTTTCACGGCTTAAAAATAGAAAATTAAATTAATATTTAGCATGATATTCTTTTCTTACTGATCGTATTCTTTGTTATTATTATTAATAGTAGTACAGTCAAACCTCAGTCAGACGATTCACTTTTCGAACAAATCGTAAACCGATTTGTTCGGAAAGTGAGTCGTTCGAAAACCGAATAATAAGTTACTCGGCAAGAGCAGACCACAGATTAAATTGACACTGACGGTCAACTCCCTATACTTCCTATCATGGTGTAAGAAT